ATTCTACTGTCGCATCTGAGTGAAAGTGGGGGTAGCTGATGGCGCGTTCCTTCTCGTTGCAATGCAGACGGTGCTGTTTTCATCATGTCACTACTCAAGATGTGATCATGATCGTTCAGATTTAAACGTTGGGTATGCTTACGCAACTCGTCGTTATTAAGCCTTGAATTTTCTAGCTGAACGTCTTCCAGTGCATCTTGAAGATGCCTCGAGGCCGTTACACCGCTACCTTTGATTGCAGGTAAAGGGTTTCTGCTTTTGGAGACATCACCTGATTGAGTAGTAGCGGAATGTCTGGGGTAGTGATTCTGTTGCTGGATGATATCTAAAACCTCCTGAACAGATTCAGACCTATGAGAGGGTCTCATGTTTCCAGCGTGGTAAGTCTCGCCAATATTATCATCCATTGCTATTGTTGATGACCAGCGAAGAATAGTTGATGATAACCATAATCATATGCACCTCGTATGAATGCTTGAAGTCAAAACGTCCAACACTGATCTCGTTGCATATTCAGAAAGAACTAAACATGCCTATATATTACCAGTCCACCACACTAAAATAGGGACACTGCCTTGTGAAGAACACAATCCATTGTAAAATATCGCTTCCCGATATGATGAAAACCGCACAAGAAATGATCATCAACGTTTGGCGTTGGTTCCAGTTGTTCGAACGAAAAATCTGCCAGACGAAGGGATAGAGACGATAGTCAATTTCGAGGCCCTATATGCTGAACACAGAATGACGCCTCTGGATGTCCGCGCACACACGCACACAAATGGGCAGAGAGAGAGAGAGAGAGAGAAAGAAAGGACCCCGACTTTAGACTATCAAACAACCGTCATCAGGTGGCGCTAGATTATTTCCTTGTTATAGTAACGTTGTAGCGCTCGACACTCAACGCCATGTTTGTCCTATTTTAACAGTTTCTAGACGGATTAGATGACCTCCAGAGACGACTTTAAGAAAAAGCTGCACCTTGAGTTTTATTTTGCTTGAGTGTATGTAGATTTAATTTGAATAAATTACTCGATTATATAATAGAGTATGATGTTCGACAAGAGACGGATAGTCCTGTTCAGCGGTGCCATATAACGAGCACATCTGGGAATATTTCACAAAGATCCTAAGTTGAACTTATCTTTAAGTTGAACTTAAAATTAATGGAAAGCCGAATTAGCCGTTAGCACCTTTGAAAATATTTTAATAATTTTTTTTTTAAAGGCATAAAATGTTGATTCAAATCATTCATATTTTAAATTATCATGGGAGATTTCATGTTCCTGATGTGGAATTTATAAAAAGTCTAAAATACTTCAACTTTCGTTTTGAATTTAATTTATTTTAAGGCTACAAATGGCTTTCCATAATGTTTAAGTCCAACTTAGAGTTAAGTTCAACTTAGAATCTTTGCGAAACACCCCCCCCCCCCTGGTGCTTAAAAACAAACGGAGATACATTATGTTTGCACATTTCTGTAGGGAAAGGATAATCCAACCCTTATAGACAACTACTCTAAAAAGAAAGCAGAAACGTCAGAGAACGAACTAACGTAAGTTTCAATTGAATCTGGCTATAAGAAAGTTATGAATTTTTGAAAGTTGTAATCACTATACGTATGGGCACTTTAAATTGGCTGAAGCGGTAATATCAACGGACTACTTTCCCACCTGTTCCAACATATAAAATGACTAAAATTAAATATTTGAACAAAAAAATCATTGCTCATGAGGGTCTATTCTTTTGAGAGGACCTATAATATTCAATTCAATTCAGAACTTTATTTCAGACTCAGCTGCACAAGGCAGTGGTCCATAAAACATATGTTACATATAGATAGGGATAATAGCGGAGTATGAACATGGTGAGTATAATAACAACAAATCGTACACATACTAAAGAATATAACAAACTAAAAAAAAAAAAAAAAAAAAAAAAAAAAAAAAAAACTATACTACGTATATACATTGTAACTGTAACATGTAAGCTGTATCTGTAAAAATTGATAACAGAAGGCCTATAGCAATCTAACTCTAGTCTATGTTGTACCTGTAACTGCAATATTAAAATAAATATATGTATAACAAAGTGAAGTTGTAACTTAATTGTAATAATCTCTGCTCATTAACTAGAACAATTAATATACTAATAATATATGCTATCTATAATATTTTTGAGTAGTGCCCGAAGGGAGAAGGAAATAATGAGAAAAACAGAAATTAATGATATTTTTGTACACGGCAAATGAGAGAGTTGTCCACGTTCTATGTCACAATCTACTGACCGAACTACCAATTTGAGATTTGCACAGACCTATTGCTCTTATATTTCAAAAAGTTACAACTTCCTTACTATTGGTCCGATTTATTTCAAACTTTTGCCATTCTGTTTCTGTTGGTTTACAAATCAACTTATTACAAGGGTTGGGTTGTTCTTTAAAGGTACTATGTCCCATTTGCAGGCCCAAACAAATTAAAAGGTTAAATTCCAACGGCATTTAAAAGATAATACTAATTTAGAACTACCCTAAAAAAAAGGGGGTGAAAATGTCTTTAAGTGGGAAAATAACGGCTATTAGTTGTCGAATCGACTTAGGCGATACCAATACAGAAAGTAAAAGTTTGATTTTCAGACCATGGTACTAAATGGTCGTACGTTTTGTGCTGCACAAAGATTGAATCTTTAATTTAATTTTGGCCATTACAAGAAGTGGGTTATTGATGTAGACAAATGCTCATGTACCCTTTATACAGCTCGTTTTATGTATAGTTATTACCAAAGAAGAAAAAAGCCAGTCAGTCACTCAATAGTGTCTGACAGTGAAGTCTAGCAAGTAAACTGGTTTCCTTGCATAATTTGAATATTAGGACACTGCTAACGTTTCAATTTCGCAGATAGGACATACATGACATATTCATAATTCCTGCAAAGTTCTACAGAATTTGGTGTAGACTGCAAAAGGACCATAAAATCTTTTAGGCTACTTAGGTAAGGTTGCTTTAGGTTTAACTTTTGATTCTTGAAAGTCTTTTCAATCTTGTTTAAATACTTTTTTTTCTTTTTCTAAACATATTTTCAAACTTTGAAGGCAATTCCGTTATTTTCCAAAAGGCCCTTTTCCCCGGCCCCCCCCCCCCCCACTCAGGTTTCGAAATGACCGCATGCGTGTTGCCAAAATGTCCGGTAAAGGGGTACTTTTCGTGCGACAAAGTCCGGCCCGAGAATTGTAAAAAAAGGGGTGTATTTGACTTTTCACCCGGAGATTTCTTTAAAAAGGGGGTGTTTTTTCTATTTTTCTCTCATCTCTTTGGACTCCTGAGAAATTATTCCGAATTTAGGGGGGTACATTGAGCATTTTTCCTGATTTAGGGGGGTCTCCAAGGCAGGAAAAGCCCGCGAAAGGGGGGTTCGGAAATGTTGGCAGTCCTCAGATAGGGGGTGCTTTCAAAAAGAGGGAACGAGCATATGCGTACCCTAAATAACACTGAGTGGGGGGGCCGGGCCCTTTTCATATGGAACAGGATGCAAGCCCAATGAATTCAACACAAGAGTGTGTAAGAGCTTGACACCCTTCTCAAATAATAATAGTGTGAAATTAATGGTAAAATATGGTATTGATTTTTGTTCCTCAGTATGAAAATAAAAGTTAAGCCCTATAAAAAGTGTACTTATCAAGGTGTGAGAGGGTTTCTCTTTTTTCTCTTTTTCTTTTTCTCTCAAGTTTCTCTTTTACTGTAGGAAAACAAATTTATTTTACATTTGGGAAATTGAGTTGTAGGTAAAGTTTTCAGAATTACATCATGATTGTAGTTCTTTCAAAAGAATAAGGGCCTGGTGAGCTCCGCTAAGAGCTGCTGGTTCTCGCTCTGATGTGTGAGATTTTGCGAAAGTTGGAGTACATGTATTTAAATCTTTGAACCGACGATTTGGTGAAGATAAATGTTAAAAATATTTCTTCGGATAGTTCGGAACCATATTTTACCAGAACATTTCAGAAGTAATTAGAACAAAATAAGGCACTATACTCTTTTGCCGTTCATGTTTATGTTCAATGTCGGTATGGGTATTTGTATTCACCTGATTTCCTTTAAAAGTTCTATGTGCATAAAGCGACCTCACTTGCCGTCTCATTCCTTTTTTATTCTTCCCTTGTACTTGCAAGTCATAATTTGTTGTATCTTACTTTATCAATATAAAAAATTGCGTATGGATTATAAAAAAAGACAATCGGGTTTCAATTAATGAGTCAATGTTTTTCTTTTCCCTACATGATACATCCCAATTTCCCTGGTTCTCATACCTCTTTTTGTCTCTCACTTTCTCCATGGAGTCTTTCCTTAGACCTATACACCCACACACACATTCACTCCAGATTCATCATGTCAATCTCCATCCATCTCCCCCCCCCCCTCTCCTTCCCCTCCTACCCCAGCTCTCTCTCTCTCTCTCTCTCTCTCATGAGTCTTTTCTTAGACCTTTACACCTACACCACACGTACATTCACTCCACATTCATAATGTCCATGTGACATGTCCACTCAATCACCAATCAACTCCCCCTTCGCGTCTCCTCCTATCCCAGCTCTCTCTCTCTCTCTCTCTCTCTCTCTCTTTCTCTATCATGAGTCTTTTCTTAGACCTACCTACACCACACGTACATTCACTCCACATTCATAATGTCCATGTCCACTCAATCACCAATCAACTCCCCCTCCCCGTCCCCTCTTATCCCAGCTCTCTCCCCTCTCTCTCTCTCTCTTTCTCTCTTTGTTTAGACCTTATGCACCTACACCACACACGCATTTTCTTCATCTTGTCTATGTCCACTTCATCACAAATCCTTTTCATGTATCCCCCCTCTCCTTCCCCTCCTATGCCAGCTCTCTCTCCCTCTCTCTCTCTCTCTATCTCTCTCTTTATTCCTCTCTCTCCTTCTCTTTCTCCAGCTTTGTGAGGTTCAAGCACCAAATAGAGACGAAAAATGAGATTTTCATTTAGTTGCAAGTTACTACGATTTAATAGTTCAGTATTCAAGATATAGACACTAATTTAAAATATTTGAGAAGATATATTTTTGTTACAATACATACAAGACGATTTGCTAAGGGAAAATGGAACGCTGCTGACATGACACCCCTTAAAAAGTTACTTATAATAGAATGTTACGAACCATTCAAAAGAAAATAATATGTTAATCCATTTTTTTCTTCATAGTATTACAATTTTATTGATGTTTGACCCCATGACCTTCACTTAATTACTGTAATCAATTTTTTATTTTTATTTTTTTTAATGGTGTTGGTCTCGAAATCCCAGGCATGAAAGGTTTTGGCAACCCCATTGTCAAATTATTACCAATAGTTTTGATGAAAGAGATCACAAATAATGGAATCAAAATGAAATGCATTTCAAATACAGACCATCAAACCTCTCTCTCCTTCCACCCCCCCCCTCCCTCAAAAAACAACGATGTTCAGAATGTACTGTTATTTCTTGTAATATAATTAATAGAATTATATGGGAATTATATCGAAAGATGTTGAAAGATACATCGTAAACAGCTGAGAGCGATTCCGAAGAAGGACATTATTTCATATTCACATATATATATAGATAATATCTCTACAACGTAAAAGAACCACAAACAGCACTAGATGAATACATGTGTCAACCGTGTCTATAAGAAAGTATAGACTTAACATATATTTGAGTGATTTGAAATACTGAACTTTTTACTGAAATTATTACTAAATATAAGCTCTCATCTAGGATAGAGTTCTGTGGTCCAGAAAGACTCCCTAGTCCTAGGATGATTTGAGCCATGATCGTAATTGAAGTTCCGTAGTCGAAAATGTTTGCGTTTGTAATCATACTGCAAGACAAGGGTGTCCAACTCGTAGCTCATAACCGTTAATGTCACGTTACAGGAATTGTGTATAAATATTGGTATTTATGAAACCATTTCATATATTTATTCTCGAAAATAATTTTGATACAAAGTTGAATGAGACAATACTTCGGGATATGTTACTGTCCGTACTTTAAAATGTAATCTGCCAGTATTGTATATTAACGGTATTTATGTTATTATGATAACTGTCATGATCATCATTATTATAACTGTTATCATTATTACTACTATTATTTTGATTGATAATGTTTTTTGTTTTGTTAATTACACCCATTATTGAAATTATTTAATAGCCAGACTGGATAACATTGAAATCAACCTCCCAATATGATGCAGTACGTACGTAACGCTGTCGATTCATTCTTATGTACAGTTCACAGCCTCGAACGACATGATGAATCCCTTCTCGTTATACATGTCATCAGAATTGAATTCAAGCATAAAGAAGTTGCTTTTGGAGGTATACGTGACGTCTGTGTACTCTCCGCAAATCCTGTCGAAACAAAAATGAAAATTTTATTATCATTATTGAGGCCTGTTCAGATATGCCACTGTAAACTGATTTACGTCACCTTGAATAAAAACCGCCAACATAATATGTCGTTCTGTGCATATCATGCTCTGGTGATTATTGCTCCAGGCTTTATTTCGCTCAAAAGTGTAGGGCTAGAGTTAGTTTCGCAATTGGTTTTGAGGATAGGTTTAGGTTTAGGTCACGATTAGATGTTATTTGGTCTAGGGTTGAAAATAAAGCATTTGGCAATTTGGTTTTAGATATTGACAACAATATTTATATATATTTACAATATTTCATCTGAAATAAGTATTCAGATATTTTCCCCCTTCAAAATCACTCACCGTTTGTTTGACTCAACTTCTCGACATACTTGAAACCATGTCATGTTCGATGTACAATTAATCATTATATTGTTTTACCGTTTATAACATGAATTATTATAATGTACATTAGATCATTATGATTTGACCAAATTTTTCAGTCATTACGAAACTCTTTCGTATGGGGATGCACCATACAAACATTGCTATTTGAGCATGCCCCTTAGCTTCAATGCATTCATTCAGGTCAATAATATTTCGTGATCAGTTTCAGGTGTCAGTATTTCTATTCTGTTTCTTAACGAATTTAGTACAATGTTTTATGTATATCAATAATCATGTAATGCTTCTATTGAAACGGAAAATTAAATCAAATCCATACAGGTGCTTATCGATGGCTACCTCACTAAAACCATCGGATTCAGCCGCTTCATGAGATTAGTGGGATAATAATACGAAAGACCGAAGCAAGCAAGCGGGAAGAGTTTTGGGAGATTTAGCAATCTCTTGCACTGAAACGAAGAATTCGAAGAGCATTCAAATCGCACTGGGTGATACGAAATCGAGGATAATGGGGATATTAAAGTCAAATGGCAGTAGTAGGTAAAATAGCGTTTCCTAAAAAGGTTGAATTGCAATGCTGCTGTCATGCGCAATCACAGCGAACATCATCAAGTAACTGAGGCAAGGACAAGGGAGAGGGTGGGCAAATAACCGAGCCATTTATGAGCCATATAATTATAGCAAGGAAATCACTTTTCGTAGCCCTAATTTACGTGGACGGGGAAGGGGGAGGTACTTTGAATTACAGTTTGCGTGTACTTGGATAATCTATTCATGTACATTAAAAACAGCGGCATAGCGGCGAGCACGTGCCCCCCCTCCCACCCCCTACCAAGTGATCGAAAAATAAACAGGGGGAATGGGAAAAGGATGAGAAAAGAAGACGCCCCAGGACACCCTCCCGCATCCCTCTCTAATCGGTAGCCTTTTAAAGTCATAGTTCATTTCCCTAAAAAGACCGGTGCCCCCCCCCCATTGTTTTAGTGCCCCATAACGCAACTAACTAATAATAACCGCAACAAAATCAGGGGTGCGATGTTTCATAATCAAATACCATATCCAATGACTTTTGTTGTTGCTAATGCCTTACTTTGATGAAGTAACAATATCGCTTTAAAAATAATTAAGAACGATGGATGAGCTGAAAGATGAGGTCGAAGACTTTTGAAAGCGTTCATCTGACAAGGCGCTCTGGCATTCGAGGAATTTCTTCCTACCGGTGGGACTCGATCCATGTGATTCGTAGCCTTTAAACAAGGCCACATGTCTGATAGACGCCGAGCGACTAAAACGAGACTAATCGCGAAAACCCGAGTGAACGAGAGAGCGAGAAGCCCTTCCAAGTAGCGTTTATTCAATTCAATTCAATTCAATTTTATTTCGCAATATAAAAATAAAAATATACAAAGTAACAGTAAATTTTATCTATGTTTACAAAGGTTATATGCGGTTGCGAAAACCTGTGAAGTTGGATCGCCCATTAAAGAATGAAAAACAATACAAAAAGAAATACATGTATAACATATTATAAGCACACAACAATAAATTAAGTAAAATAAGCAAAGTACACACACTTCAGCTACCTATGAAACAAGAGAAAGCAAAATAGAGAGAAGAAAAACAATATATAAAGGGGGAAAAGAAAGGAAAGGAAAACAAGATAACAATGAAAGAGGGTTCAGATATAAAACTAGAAAAAAAACGAAAACAAAAATCAACAACTGTGCTGATTAATAATTATTTAGTAGTAAGATTTTATATTGTTTTCTAAAGGAAGATATGAATTGTGATTTCGTTATTACTTGGGGAATCATATTCCACTGTTTAGGACCTAGATAACTCATTGATTTAGCTTCATAACTAGACTTAACAGACCATAAATGAAATTTGTTGGTAAGCCGTGTATTATAATTATGAATCTGACTATCATATTGAAAGAGGTCTGAAAAGGGGGCAGGTAATAACTTGTTTTTATATTTGTACATGAATGTTGCGATTTCTTGCTTATTTAAATCATATATATTTAACAACGATAGCTTCTTAAACAAAGGTGCGGAAGGTGCTAGATAATGAGAATTGGTAGCTATTCTTAAACATTTCTTTTGAACTTTAAATAGTGAGTCTAATTCAGTTTGTGTTGCATTAGTGGCCCATACAATATTACAATATTTCAAATAAGGAAAAATAATGGAATGATATAATGTTATCAAATTTTCGGGTAACAAACTATATTTTAGCTTATTTATCAAGCCAACATTTCTGCTGATCTTATGTAAAACATTTGTGATATGGTCCTTAAATCCCAAGCAATTATCTAATACGACACCCAAGAAGTTAACGGAATTACTTAATTGAATAAGTTTATTATTAATATAAATGGGAATATTATCGTTATTAATTAAAGGAGCGTTATTGCTAGCTATATCGGAAATTTTGGAAATTTTAGATCCTATGTTATATTTAGTTTTTCGAAAATAAACACATTTAGTTTTGTCAACATTCAGGGACAATTTATTTGCTTTTAACCAGTCAGATATATTCTTAAGCTCATTATTTAGAACGCGGACAGTATTATTCAAATCTTTAGATGAAAAAAATATACTAGTGTCATCAGCAAATTGATAGAAGGTTAATAAGTTAGATGATTTACAAAGATCATTTATGTATAAAACAAATAGCAGGGGACCCAGTATTGATCCCTGAGGTACCCCAATAAAGACATTTAACGAAGAAGACAAAACACCGTGGACAAAAGTATGTTGAACTCTGTTTGAAAGATAGTCCCTAAACCAGTCTAATGCAACCCCTCGTATTCCACATTGTTGTAGTTTAAATAAAAGTATCGAGTGATCCATAGAATCAAAAGCCTTAGATAAGTCTAAGAAATTTATCAATCTGGTTTGGATTTCTTATGTTAACCACTGTTTCCGACTGGAATTCGCTTCAGAAAATGGAGCGTCCAATCAGCGAACGTAACCTCGCACGACGTCAGCATATAGTATCCATCACACACACAGACGCACACACACACACACACACACTTACACAGTAAACTCTACGTAGTACGAAAATTGGACCTACTATGAACTATTACGTACGTGCTAAGACAACTGACCTCTACATGGAACGAATCACGAACGAAGCCGACTGGGAGATCGCCGTTATGATTGGTCTATAAATCCAAAGTAGGCGTATAGGCATGATAATATGTATCTATGAATAATTCATGCGGAGCAGTGAAACCTACATTGCAAAAGGCCTCGTGACATTCGTCACTCGGTCGTGCGTTCACTCCGGGTATCTAGACTCATCTCAGCCGCTTAGCCAGAGTCACGAGGCCTTGTCAAAAGGCTATGTGATTCTCAGTCCGATGACATATGCACTAGGCCAAGACACCTCTACATATTAAACCTAATCACAAAATTTAAATCCCTTGTCCTCGCATACATCAACACCCTCATGCTGGGTACAGGCTAGTCCAGAATCTGCACGGCCCTTTATAATTTCCCTAAACTTGATTCAAGCCGTCGAAGATGGCGTTATCAACAAACTCATAATTACGCTCACCAGCCCAGCCTGAGGACCGTTTCGTGCAGCGAAGTATACTAGGAATCTGTGCATAGGGCAGGGGAGTTCGAAATGTCACACAGTACACAGCGATACATGTATGAATATGCATGATAGGGCGCTATCAAAATTACGTAATATAAAGCTTGATCTTTTGACCCTGTCACAAGGTCGCTAGGTTTTTGTCTGGACTATTTTTTTCGCCGGGCGTCTTATTTTATTGATCACGCCATCATCGGCTGGTAGCAAGTAAGTAGGGAGGGGTAGCGTTGGTGTGGTGGAGATCAAAATTAAATAGGCCAGATTCTGGACTAGGTACAGGCCTTCAGGATACCACTTAATTCAGAATAAGATTTTTTTTTAATATGAATATAGAAACGACAGACTTACGTTTCCGGGCAGTCAAGTATAGATTCTCCACTCCAATAACGGAGCTGATCCCAGTAGCACGATGCGTCATTTTCAACGGAGATGAAATCTGCAGACATCTGTACGTTACAGTTAGTTGGAGCCTGAATAAAGAATGATACTATGAATGGAACTCTTCTCGAATGGGAAGAGAGTGATATCGTTAAAAATGAATAAAACAGATAAACAGTGACAGTACATCCACGGGCTTATTCCCTTCACCAGTGGCGTACGCAGGATTTTTTTCAAGGAGGGGGGGGGGGGGGGGGGTAAGCCGACACTAAAAATGGCAACGACTCAGCCAGCCGCTGAATAAACGGGGGGGGGGGGTTAAAGAGGACACTTTTTTTTGTCTCGAAATTTGAAGAAAAAAAATTATAATTAAAAAAAAAAAAGAAATTCGAAAAAAAAATCAAAAGGGGGGGGGGGGGGGGTTTCCAAATAAGCATACACAAAACATACACTTAAAATGGGCTTAATCCCATACCCCCCCCCCCCCCCTCCTGCGTACGCGCCTGCCCTTCACACGTGTCATTACATGTAGTATATAATGTATATTACATACCATATACAAATAGAGAGGCTACAATAAAAAAAATACAAAGTGAAAAGTCCCGTACCATGATTCCTGTTCCACTTCACCCCCTTTCCTTATGTTGCCGTTAATTGCGCCCTTTTACCTAGTTAAACCTATACCTAGGCATTACAAGACATGAACTTCATCTATTAATCATCTTAGTTCAAAAAATATTTAAAGAAGATATTCATCATAGCCATCATACTACATGTACCACCAACACAAGCAACATATACTCCCTGTCAGAGCCGTACAAATACAATCTAGGAGTTTCCTGGCCTCCGAGCAACCCCACCCCCAAAATAGTATTCCATTTCAGTGATTAAAGGCATCCTTCTACACTACCTCCCCCCCCCCCCTCCACACACACTCACAAAGCTACTACCGCTACGATTACTTATTTCTTCTACATTTTCAAGTTATGATAAATAACATTCTTTCAACTAACATTAAATGATGAGATGATTTCGGCACCATACGATCCTTATACGGAGAACTTAGATGCTCATTATTAATATTATTTGTTATTAATACCAGTATTATTATTATTATAATTATAACTTTTATTATAACTATCATTATTTTGATTATTAATATTATTATTAATATTTTTCATAATAATGTTATTATTATTATTATTAGTAGTAGTAGTAGTAGTATAGTTATTGTTATTATTATCGTAATTGTTATTGTTATTGGTATAAGTATTTGGCGTCACCAGTGCTGAAGAGGGGAAAAGCGAACTGAATCACTATTACCCACGGGTCTCTCCTCCCTGTATAACTCATTGCATGGGGGCATGCAGGTGGACCACTACACTGTGGCTTCCCCCTTATTTTATACAAATAGTGCAGTGGGTTCTTAGCGTGCACAGGTGGTGACTTTCCTCTACACAGGACCTCCATTTAACATCCCATCCTCGGGACGGAAGAAGACTTACCGAAATGAAGTAAGTTTTTTTTGTGCTCGGAAGGTACGAACTCCCTGCAGCATTGTTTGGAGACGTGACAGTAACAGGAGCTCCACCTTGGGTCACCTCATGTTTCTCGCCAGAATTGTCAGCTGAAAAAGATTGAATCGCAATATCATTGTTCTTACTTTTTTTAGTTATCTTTATATTTCGAATTAATGATTTTTTTTTCCGACTAGAAAAAGCCCGAAAAAAAAAAACACCAGACTAAACATCCTCCCCCTACCTTCCCTGATTGTTTAAAGGTCATGTCCGTTTTCGCAACAGTACTTCATATTTTTCGCTCTCTACATGTTGAATACTGAAATATTAAACGAAAAAACAAGCACAGATGTCTAAATTTAGCCCCTACTTCTATTAGGTCATTGAAAGAGGGCCTAATGCCTATCGACCTTTAATATCAACCCAGCACATTTTTATTTTCGAAGTTAGCCAAACTTTACAAATATTTACCAAACGTTAATAGATTTAGATTAAGATTTATATTTATTTGACTTTAAATTCCACATACTAAGAATCTTGCTCTACGATTGGTCAAAAGTAAATCACGTGATGAAAGATAGTTCGCCCATCATTGCTGGGAGAAGCAAAAAGTTCGTTACACTGTGTAGATTGGCTACTACCTACACAGTGCAACGCACTTTCACTGAAGATAGAAGTCCTATCTACACAGTGCAAGGCACTTTACTTGTATACGCTGCGTATCGCTCTCCTCTTTAAGCGCTTTTAGTGTTAATACGCGAACTTTGGTCACGCGCGAACGATAATGGTCACTCCACCATACTGCATGCAATGTACGTATCGTACACCGTTTGTTAGCTGTTAATTGATGACTTAATTGTTGATCTAAAATGATGGAAAAGGTGAAATGTTTCCGGCGTGAAATATAAAGCAAATAATCACCTTATGGTTTCAGGCGATGGCAAACTATCACTTCCTCGGCGATCTGAATGTATACGCTATCTTTCATCAGCTTCACTTCGGAAAGATAGAAACATCCAGATCGCCTCGGAAGTGATAGTTTGTCCAATCACCTTTAGTAACGGTAGTTATTTGCTTACTATTGACCTCCTTTAGGGGTATGAGAGCACAACATATTTACAATACAATAGAGAAAGACATATAAAACAAAGTAAGACATAATAGTAAAATACATAGACATATACATTTTTGTATTTCTAAAATAAAATAAACATGAGCTAAAGACTAAGTATTCATTTTACAATTTAAAGTTTATAAGTCTAAAATATCTCGTGCTTTGGTTTGTCCACTACTACGAGTAACTACATGTTTATATACAAATATAGGACCATGCCTTTCAGCCTTAGGATCCAACGAAAAGATTTGTATTATTACTGTTATGAATCTTACGAGTTTTCTTCATAGTTTAACACTAGATCTATTAAACAATTTGTCCATGTGAATTGTGCCAAGGGTTACTCCCAACAAACTGTCGATCTGTCTTGAAAAAAGGGCAGACAAAAAAATAGTGAAATTCATCTCCAAAACCCTTTAAATCACAACAAGTAGTTTCGTATAGGAATTATACATCCTCTGTGGCCTTGTAAGATATTCCTCGGGGGGTAATTCTCCGGGGGGTAATTTTCCGGGGGGTAATTGTCCTTGGGGGGTAATTGTCCTCGGGGGGTAATTCTCCGGGGGGTAATTCTCCGGGGGGTAATCGTCCTACGGGGGTAGTTTTCCGGGGGGTATTTGCCCGGGGGGTGATTGCCCAGGGGGTAATTGTCCTGATACGCGCACGGTATACGTGAAGTATTGGAACACAAGGACGTACGAATCGCAAGAGCTGTTTTTTTTTCAATGTCTTAGCTGTAAACTCTTTGTACCAGGTGGGGCCGTTTAATAAATAAAACAAACCTTTTAACTTTTCAACCTTTCAACCTTTCACTTGGCATCACACGTATGCGCATAGATATAGGACAACCCATCATTGTGTTAAGGTGTTGACCCAAAAATACCTGCTATAGGAGACATGGTAATGTATGTGAGAGGAAAAGTGACGAAAAGGATAAGTTGAGCTGGTCGCTCTGATCACTAATTACTTACACACAGCATTTTCATCAAACGTCCCGCAGTTATCTCCTGTAAAGTGGTCTGGGCACCTGCAACATTTAAAGTTGTAGGCGTTTCCAGTACCCCAAAGGCAATAGTCATTTCCGTCTCCATCAACTTCCTTGCAGGTTTCTGAAAGAGAGAAAAAAGAATGCACAGATTGATGCATTTCTTTATGTATTCTTTTCTGTACAGAACATATTACATAATAATTCACACCTGTACATACAAAATTCCTTTATATTACAATAAGTGTAAATGAGTAATGACCATTTTGGACATAAATAGTATTGAATGAAGATTCAAGCCAAGTTTTTTAATTCCCAGGGCAGAAAAGTGATATTTTCGTTAAATTTGTGACACAACAAATAAAGAAAAGTGAGGAGATAACATCATCAACTCGCCATATGCATACAGCCTATATGATACACATCACTGTTTCATGAAATTTGTGCGAAACTTTAAAACCCCATAACATACTTATTTTCGTCCGTTTTTTTATTGTGTACATTTTTTAGTTTTGAGAGCACGTTTATAATAGCAGCACCTTCAGTGTTACACTATTGCTTGTTCTGTTGATGAACTATAGAGCATTTATTTGATTATAATATATAATAACAGTGGGTTCTTGCATGGCACTCATGTCTGTCAGACTTGGCACTCCTGGCGCTCCACAATATTTTACCCCGGCTATATAGCATGGCTGCCATTATGGCGATCTGGCTTTTCAAAAAATTAATTCCTGCCAGGTACTCATTTACCTCACCTGGATCGAGTGTGGCAAATGTAGATTAGTGCCTTGTCAAAGGACATTAGTGATGTGATCCACGTCCTTTACATATCCACTCGACCACGAAACATTATAGTATACGAGTGTTGATCTAGCACATTGTGTTGTCTTTTAACGAGCACCCCTTACAACGTCCTGTGTACAGCTCTCTTATACAGTGCGTCCCAGAAAAAACAAAACCGAGGATTATCGATGTTTTATCATAACTTAATCACAAATATAATTAATAAATGACACATATTTGTAAAGCTATAATACAATAATTTTATTAAACCAATTCGATTTCACTGGCTGCCTGCCATAGCAGCAAACGGAATTGACAAAAGACTTAAATCCGTTTCGTTGACGATCAGCCATAGACGAAAGACTTCATGCATGCCTGATTGTCAACGAAACGGAGTTAAAGGGCCACTCTAACCCAACTAACATAGCCTTTCAAAACATGAATACACCTCGACTTATCAATATTCCAGCCCCTGATTTTTCTGAAAATCTCTAAAATGACCCCCAAAAAGATAATAACCATCCATTTTTCAGTTCTCACGCTTACTGGACTACGCCCTTCGAAAAAATGTAATTCGGTCACGTGGCCTTGATGACGCATTTGACGTCTTTCAGCATGTACGATACCTACAACTGAGGACCTTACAAAATGTCTTTTTTCCCCCAACTAATTTCATAGTTTGCCTTTGTAAAGACATTTGAATGCCTAAATCACCCTCCTTTTCACCGGAGAGGCGCCTACAGTGACGTCATATGCTAGTGCGCAATACAGCTCCGAAACCGGGCTTTTTTTCTTAGCGTTCTGAGTCGTCATTTTTAAAGCTAGATTCCAGAATTCGTGAATCATTGATGATTTCTAAGAAAAATTATTGTCATGTTCGGGATCTCCGTCAAAAATGATTCCACATGTCTTTTTTCTCCATTTTTTAGCCCGCTTTGGTTAGAGTGGCCCTTTGAGTCTTTTGTAAATTCTGACGGCAGGCAGCAAGTGAAAACGAATTCGTTTAATATAATTATGGAAATGCAAGCATTACTTTAACGAAACAGAACTTTGTTATTCCTTGCTCATTTTTCATGGTTGACGTGTCATATGAAAGGGCAGAAACTGAACCTTCAGGAAATGTGATTTTTTTTTCTTTGAAATTCAGATACCGTCCGCCTAATGACTTTTTTTGTTTCCTCTCTTCAAATTAATTTGAATCCCTCATGCGTAAAATATGCATCAAATGAAAGAAGAGGATCTAAGCTTTACAAATATGTGTCATTTATTAATTATAATTGTGATTAAGTTATGATAAAACATCGATAATTCACGGTTCCGTTTTTCTAGGACGCACTGTACAGCGCTTTACTTTTCAGAGTGTAAGGAGTGAAAAGACACACAGAGAGTGGTATATAACATGGTACAAGTGCAGTTCCATTAAAAAATTATCTGATCTCATTATGATTAATTATTTTATTTATTATAATGGATTCTTACCTTTTTCACGGGCGTCGTACAAGAGATAAATGGCGCAGAGGTCTCCGGCTTGTACTTGGTTCTGCTTACCTTGATCTGGTCCCATGTCAGGATCGAGGGGCGTTATAGTTTCACCCCCTTTGCTGAAAAACTAGAGTTAAGGTAAATCAAATGTCTTATTAGAAGTTATTAATCATATAAAATCAGGCTGTGTCGTTGTTAGTAATATATTAACAAGAAATGTGTGTATAAACGTAACCAAAATATTAATAATCTCGACGTTTCGAATGGATTCTTTTAAAATTTAGTGTTATGTAAATTTTATAAGGTTGATACTTTGTTTTTGAAGAAGAAAAATTGGAAAAAATTAAATGGGGACAGGAAAGAAAGAAAAGCTTTTGTAAGACAATTTTGAAGCAGAAATGGTGCTTGAAAAATGTGATGATTTTTTTTTCTGCTATTCAAAGGTTTTCGGACTTGTCCCCCCCCCCCTCCCAGACTAGGGACTCGTGGATCCGCAGAATTGAGAGTGAAAAAAGAGTGAAGTGCAACAAAGGTCTATGCTAACCTCTGCGATCTGTCACACTAAAAGAGATCCCGGCATGTAATGCACTTTAGTTGTTGAAAGGCGATCAGATGGATGACAATGTTGACCTTTTTAGAATTTATTTCTCATCATGGTTTCTAAGTGATTTTCTACCTCTCTAATGTGTAATTATTGTAATGATATATCACTTGAGGAGGTTAACAATTTTACAACAGCTTAGTATTGCTTAGTAGGAATTTTTTTCAAAAAGACAATGAAAAGAAATCAAATCAAATCAAATCTAAGCTGACGAAAAGTGTTAGAGTGCTTATCAAGATATATATATATATATATATATATGTGTCTGCACAGGTCTAGACTTACGGTCCTTCCGTAATGCATGAGACTGCAGGTCTGATATTTACAGGTTGTACACATGCTTTCCTTCATGGCGAAGTTGCCTTCCTTGCCATCCTTGATATTCTGTGTATTGACCGTGATGTACTGCGGGCTATCCGGCCTTTGTTGTGTATGGAGCAAGCCAAGAGCATGAAAGATTTCGTGGATGATGACATACACCTGCAATGTCAATAATCGAATTCAAATGAGTCTTATACTCCAACATATTGATAACATTAAAAGAACCGAATGCTAGAATTGAACAGAGATGCCCCGAAATGAACTGAGCTGAACTGAACTGTGCCAAACTGAACTGAACTGAATTGAACTGAACTGAACTAAACTGAACCGAACTGAGCGGAACTGAGCTAAACTGAACTGAACTGAGCCGAACTGAACTGAGCCGAACTGAACTGAACCACACTGAGCGGAACTGAACCGCACTGAGCGGAACTGAGCTGAACTGAACTTGAAAATAGCATGAATTCTAATCGAGTCTGTTACCTTTGAACATTATTATGAATTTTACATACACAATTATTTACAAAAGGTAATTCCATACCAAAATATAATTCAATCGATAGAAATGGATGAAAGGTAAGATGTCAAATACCTAGCAGTTTGGTTAGATGGTTTATTTTAAATGAATGCCAAGAAAGCGTGCGTATGCTTGTAAGTAAGGGGACCGACGACTTTAAGTCCTTTCCGAGGGACTTGGTAATGAGGAGTAATGCCCGACAATATAGAGCACTAGCGAATGGACTTGGTTTCGAACTTAGGTACTCTCAGTTACGAGACTAGTGCTCTTCCAGTGAGCCATTTCGCTTGCTAAGGTATATGATATTTAACTGATTAACTCTACATGGTGTTTTTTCTGAAGCACGCAGTGAATGAATTGTCCGCACTATAAGTGGGAAATCATGGTTGTTCTGACATCGGGTGTATCCAAATATCGCGAGGTACCGGTGAAAGCAGACGTTTGCAATTATTGTTTGATAGCTTACTTGCCAATCACATTTCATCGCAACAGCTTAATGCTAATACATGGATACGTTGGGAACGTAGACTAGATGATATTTGAAGATAATCAGCAAATTGTGCTTCAATTTATTTAAAAAACAACTTAATGAGAGGCGAGACTAATTGGGTCCATTCTTAAAATTGAATAAGTGTACATAGTTTTAAAACCCTTGGACGGTACAAAGAAAAACTTTAAAAAGCCATCAACATGTTTAATAAAGTAAAACGCCAAACTTACTGAAGTACATTTGCCAGTTTGGAGATTTAGCGTTTGTTTTTCACCGGATAACATTCCGACGTAAGACCAGCACCTAAAATTCACAACATCATGACAAAATGTAATTGAAAGAGAAGTTAAGTTCATTGTTACACATGGTAACAGTGACACCAATAAAAAATTGTCTAATTCTTGTATTATTATGGAACATTTTTATGTTCCTTTCATGTTGTTATCGATATAGATACATTTTTGGTAATGATAATTATGGTCTAACACAAAATGTGTGGATATGTGAAAAATATGCAATGATTACGTAAATGGGGGACCGTCAAGATGTCCATTCAAGGCAAATCACTGCAACATGTTATGATCTTGAGATTAAGATATTTCTAGTAAATTAATTTTGGAATAAAAATTTAAATACTGATACCAAGAATACATAAATGTAATTAATCTTGCACTAGCAATTAGGCATACAATCAATATGAAACACAATTAATCAAATGTGTATTATACGATGCTTCAATTCAATTCCTTTGACACCCTTTTACGTCTATGTAAATATATATTATATGTATGTATGTGCTTATGTGTATGTGTGTGCGTGTTTGTGTGCACGTGAAGTCTTCACCTATACATCTTTTTTTTCCATTTCGTTTTATCTTGAATGGTAATAAATCATCGTAATTGTTTTTACTTACCCCTCTGATTTACCATTATCAACGACGGCGATATAATGTTCCCTATCTGCATTATTTGTGCAGTCGTAATCGTCTTTTGTGACGTCTTTGAAAGTGAGAATACCGTCTAATATACTGGAAACTTGTGCAAACGCCTCCAGACTATACTTATTTTTCATTGCCGCTGTCAATAAATAATAAAAATCACTGCCTATTACTAATAATTCAGTAATTTACCTCACACCGACCAGAAATATCTATCTATAAAATAGCTTGCCGAACTTGCGATCACTTGATCACAACAAGGCGTATATTCTTTGGTAGTGTGGTTACCCTTCAAAACAGTTCAAAATTGAATTTTGAAAATGATGTAGACCTTGACAAAGAAGATCAATAAATGATGAATCCGTGGCCAAAAAATGACATTTACAGCACAAGCAAAAGGAATGTTTAACTTATTCTTGTCATACTTTTTGGCGAATGCATAACATTTACAATAGTGATCAAAAACGTTTTTTTTTTTTAATTGATATGTCTTCTGATGTTTTAACTTATTTTTGTTATTCACTATTGTATAAAAAGTGACCAGCAGCATTGGCTGAAATGGTAAGTTGACAAGGGACAATGCAAAATATACAAAGGCACGTTGACAATACTTTGAAAAACATAGAAGCAGTATACATAAGAAATATAGTATGAACATTTTGTAAGTACGTTGTATACGAGATAAATGTAAAAAGAGGGTAACTGAGGAAAGGGGAAAATGAGGGGAGGGAGACAGATCGATCGAAGGGGTAGGGGGAGAACAAGTTGAAACAGTGAATACAATGATAAAAGAGTACACTGTATGGGAAAGGAAAGGGGGTAGATGTGAATACTAAGAGGCAAGGAGAGGGAAGACCAAAGATGGGGGAAAGATTAATGAAGAGGTGGGAAAGATTAATACAGAGAGAGAGAGAGAGAGAGAGCGAGTGAGAGAAAGAGAAGATATTATGCAATATTCACATCTAGTTAAAGCATTATAGATTAACTATACAGCAGTGGTCTTATAAAACCACGGTCCTACCTGAGCAGTAAGCATAGTAGACAGTGTCATCCGTCCACTTTGTGATTGTAGCTTCACATTCCTGAAAAGATAAACATCATGTAGCGATGGTCAATATACAGTGCACATCAAAAGTCTGCTGTCAATTATTTGATATTTATCATCACAAATGTCCTTGCTATTCGAGATAAACACCAATGCTCCTAACGCGTGTACAATGGCGGAGTGGGCAAGTGAGCAGAAGGAGCTTAGATATGTTGAGACAAGAAGTTAGTAGACTGTCTAAAATAATTAAAGGTTATCCTGTCGATTGAAAAAAGCTTCTGTGAAAGCCTAGTTACATTGCATCATTTTAAATAATAAGGCACTGAATCACGAAGCGCAATTTAACTTGTTAAAGGATTTAAGACCAAAGAAGCACATGCATATGGCCTGACCCCACACTGGTTGCTTAAAGTGACTCGGTAACATTGTTGAAGGTTGATGAAAAACATGCGTAATTGTTGTATGAAATGCTACTTATTATATTCCTTCTACTGTACTAACCCTCTAACATGCACAAAATCATGAACAAATTCTTAAACCACAAAGATATTTATGGTTTTCTTTGAAGGCGTCACTGTACAACAACCTCTACCAGGAAATGGCTACCATCTTTGAATTTTCCCAACCGTTTTTCTATGAAAATAAGACATCACGTAAGACTGGCTTATAAAAATCTTTAACACTTAAATGTCTGGAATGTTATGTAGAGCCAATTAATTGCTTTGTGACGATTTACATTCACCTGAAATGTAATTAAATTGTAAGAAAATGGAATCAATCAGATAAGTTTTCCCCAATTGTTATCATTAAAAATGGTCTGTTTTCACTCAAACTTTCAGATTATCTTTATCTAGCATTGAAGTCGCTACCTTAGCACCATCGTCTCTCATTCTGAACAATGTTACCAAACTTGGAACAAGGCGGTTTTGACAAGACTTTTGAAAGACCCTGGTGCTCGTTCACCCGTGGCAGAAATATTATGATTAGGGTATCATTGGACAGCAAATAAGTTACGCTTCATCATGAAAGCAATTTCAAAGTCATATTGGTTATGACTTTTCAACTAGGAGCTACAAAAGTTGGGTAAACTTTTTATTGATACGCTCTGTACTTGAGAAAGGGGTCCCAAACAATCAAAATATTTATCTCGTAATACATGATGCGGCAAACAGCATTTTATACACACACACACATATAGATATATATATATATATACACCTTATTATACAAAATCAAATAGTGGTTTCATATTTCTATATCATGTTAGAATGAGTACTCAAATGCATTGTCGGTATCGTGTGCTGTCGGTCTATAGGGATACCCCGATTACCATGATTACTGTCGTACACTTGAAAGGATATATTACATTATTTATTGTTCTCTAGTTAGATATATCAACGCAGTCCTCTTTATCTATCAAATGTACAGTTTATTATAAATAGTTGCGCATAGTTCCAGTTTCTGGTAAAATTTTAGAATACATACCTCCTCGCTGGCCCGCTTGAACTCCTATAGGATCAAAGATATAAAATACAATGTAAAATTGCGACCGAAAATGACACATTACATAGTCACCAAATAACAAAATAGTTCGGAGATCGTCATGCCACCGCGAGATTATTACCTCTTCTTCTGACTCTCCTAGTCTCCTAATCCAAGATGCAGACAATTACTTGCAAATGTACCTATACAACATTATAAAACGAACTTCCATTTTTTAAAGTGCAAGGGCATTTTTTTGTTTTTGCAATACAATGTTCAAGATCGTTATCATAGTCAATGTAAGTTCTGAAACCCTGAAAATTCTACTTTAGAATTTGCATAAATAAATGTAGTATTTTAGCATAAGAAATAAATAGGTCGAAAACATATCCTTTTCAAAGCTAAAAAGTCTTTCGAATGTTGAAAAATTCACTACTTCATTAATCTTCTGATTAATAGTTCTAATGGTATCATCCCAAATGGGTTTTACAGTCTGACATTCAATGAAAAGATGTAGGTAAGTCTCGGGTTCATTATCGCAAAATGAACAATTAGGAGAATTCTTTCGTTTAATTTTGAACAAGAAGTTATGTTATGCTATGGCTTTATAAAGTAGTTTGAATAAAATGAACGAATGCGAGTGCTTTTAGTACATTTGAAACTTTCAATATGAATCTTTAGATTAAAATAGTCATTAATAGTGTATTATTTTACTACAAACGACATATCGAAATAAATGTGCTTTTCGATGTATTAAGCGCTATCTTAACCCATATTATTATCCCCATTATTATCATGTAATGGTATATTTATTCAAAATCTGTCTCGCAACCTTGTTTTCACAAATATAAACAACATGCACATAAGAATAAATAAAAGTACTATATCAACATATTACAAGGAATAAAAGAATGATACGCGATCTTGCATGGTAAATGTTTATAACAATTTATGATTAATCATCATAATCATCATCATCATTATTTATGCTAGATTAATAATGAAAATAGCGGTGATTATCATCGTAACAATTATTATAATAATAATAGCGACGATAATAATGGCAAAATTAATAATAATAATAATAATAAAATGTATGATGATAATGATGATGATTATTATTAGTATTACTATTATTATTATTATCATTATTAAAAGTTGAAAGTATGTTTCGGAGAGCTTTCATTTTTGTCGAGTTTGTTGTGGCGGCATCGAACAAACATGTACTTCACAGGCAATCTCTATGTAAAAAATAGACTTTTCTGTTTTGAAATTGTTCCAACAAGAGGTGGCGATTAAATATGAAAAATATTGGTCACAAAAAAGTGCTTATTCTAGCGTATGACCATTTTGTTTCTTACTTTCGAGTAGTGTTAATATTACTATCTGAACATATTCGAACTCTTTTTTTTAAATATTTACAAGAGCAAATGAATCCTGGTTTTACTTTCCAAAGGTTTATAGCTAGACGCCATTGTTCTTTTTATTTATTTTGTTCTTCTCATTGCTATTGTTTACTTACATTTCAGCAAAGTTCATACATCCCTGATTTCTCTATTTTTATATAGCACTGTATATTTGTATTTCATCTGAATATGAAAATTAACGAACAAACGAACGAACATGCGAAAATTACGAAGAAAAAAGTACGAGAAGGATCTAAAAATGTTATCTGTCTACTAGAAATGAAGTACAAACTCTAGCCTTATCATTATATTACTTTAATATGTAAATATCGTTAAGCCCCTTTCAAAAATTGAATACGTATTCCAAATATTTTAACTAAACATCAGTATTGATACCACAATGTTTTTGCAATTCTTTATTCTAAAATATCGAGCAAACTTCATACATACCATCTCATCATCACCACGTTTGAACTCCTATTTGAAAATTTAAAAAAATTTACGAAATTAATAATATGCAATTTATTTTATTGTGCGAAAGGGCAGTTTAACCTCTTACGGCAACTTAATCTCTACCCTGAGTTTTCCTCCATTGCATCCAGATCTCCCACTTCCTCTCTCTCTCTCTCTCTCTCTCTCTTTCTCGCTCTCTGTCTATCCGACTATCCATCTATCTATCTTTCTTTCCCCGTGACTGAATTTGAACAAAACAAATTCCCTACCCCCACTGAGCTAATGAGAGGACGTCGGTGAAACATTATATAAGCATTCTAAAGTGACCTGGGTAAACTTTCACCCATTTTTTGTTAAAAAAAGGAACATGCATGTTTGTTGGTTGAATGTTACCCAACATTTGGTAAATGTTAATTAATGTTGGGTATATTTTACCCGATAGTGCGTTAGCTGTAACTCAACAAAAATGAATGTTGCCATTTTTACCCAACATAACTAATATTTTAGCTAGCACTTTTTAGACAGTGTAATAACATTTAAAACGAAATTACAACAGTTTCATCCGTGTCCGATGTCTCCATGACATTTAACAATGTAAGTAAGACTGTACAAATTAATAGACTCTCATAGACTATTTTAAAAAGGTGAAATACTTACCGCTTCGTCGCTCCGCTGGAATTAAAAAAAAATGGATAAAGTGAACCGTTTTGATAGTGTGTCTTCTAATATGCCAACTGAAGAGGTTAAAGTTGTTAATCGACGCATTACAAAGAAAGGGCATGGCCATGATGACTGCACGAGGTAGATATCATTAAATGGATGTTGCACCAGAAATTATACAAAATCCTAATAAGTATTTATAATTTTGTTATCCTTCCACTTCATTCGATTGTATCTTTTTGTACTTATTCATTTTACGTTTTGTGGAAATAAATTCATTTCATTAATTATAACAGTTATCGACAATTTATCTAACAGCGACTTTTTGAGGTTGTTTTAAGGTATTTTGGAAGAAAATAGAAATTTCTTACCATTAGCTGAAAATTCACAAAGCTAAATGGATTTTGTTTTGTAGAAGGGTATTTAGCCGTGTTTTAGACCCGTTGCATGTTGTAGTCTTTTCATCGACGTCTTTCAATCATTTTTATTACTGTCCAAAATTATTATATTTTATAAATTATGTAAAACAGTTCTATAGTTATGTTGTCCTGTATTTTTGTAATAGATAAATAAATTAAGTGAATGGGACGTACAGGTATGCAGTATGCTTTCTAAAAGGTTTAGATTCTATATGCTAGATAGAGTGGTTTACTATCCAGCTGATCTGTATAGCTAAAGGAAAATGATTGAAAACACGTTCTGATTCAAACATAGCTTGTTGAAATCATGTATTTAACACTTTTTTGTTTGTCTATCTTATATATTGGTGTACAAAAGTGTTGTGAACAAAATTATTGTCCTTTATGTTCATTATAAGTGATGATAATGCATACCTTTTCAGCGCCGAAGTTATCGGGTAGTTCCTTTTCTTTCTCTCTTTCCGCCCTCTGAAAAAAATGACGTGACAAAAACAGTTTTGTTCAGTTACTAAAAGCAACATGTTATACATTCGAAAAGTTTGTACATGATTGTACATGTAGAATAATAGTTTGATTGCAACTTTATATATATTTGTTTCAGTTAGTTGCATGGATTCTGAGTGACTGACTAAAAAAGACTTTATACCGTCGCAAAAAAACTATGTAATGTAAAAAAAAGCCTGTTATATCATTTTCGGAAAATAAATGTCCCATGATTATGATTTATCCATTCTTTCAGTGCATCGTTATATCAACGGTGTACAAATGATAATAATAATAATAGCTCACATTTATAATGCGCCTAAAACTTTGTTTCTAGGCGCAGCACATATGATTGATTGATTGATTGATTTTTATTCGACAAGCTTCCAACATACAACAATATACAATAATAACAGATCAAAAAAAAAAGTCAGCTTGAACAGGATAACCCACGAAAGCTCGAGAGCTTATTTCCAGTGGGGTCCCTTACAGACATGTATAAAATTAATAAGTTAAAATAGTAATATTTACAGACAGATAAGAAAATGAAAAGAACTACTTATTAAAGATAATAATAATAACAACATTAAACTGATGATAGAAATGATATTAAGTACAAGAAGAAAAAGAAGAAGGAGAAGAAGAAAAAGAGGAGAAGGAAGAAGAGGAAAATAATGATGAATTTGTAGAATTTCTATAACGTACGAAAACATAAGTATATACAACATGAAAAAGTATGAACCGACAGAAGAATAAAAATTTCAATCATATAACATGTCATTCACTTCTCTTCTCTGACTGTCAAGTATTAGGTATTCCTTTAATTTCCTCTTAAAATGATCATAGTTTCCTATTCCTATGATTACCCCAGTCAACGGATTCAGGCTTACCCGCAACACAATGTATGCACATTTTCCACTCCCTGGGGAGCATTCCAGCCAGTCGCCATTTTACAAGCGCCACTTGCTAATCCAACCACATTAACTTTCGCATCCTACCGGGTACCCTTTTAACACCTGGGTGGAGAGTGGCAATTGTAGATCAATGTCTTGCCAAAGGACATTAGTGTCGCGGCGGGACTTGAACCGCGGACCTTGTGATCCACAGTCCGGTGACATATCCACTCGACCACGACACCTCAACAAATGTAAACATACGTGAGTTTTGTTGCTCTTGCTGTACTTTCATTCCGACACAAACACACACACGCACGCCCAAACACACACCCGCTCATTTAAATCATGTATACATGTTTATATATAAAATAATATATACTCTATGAATTTATATTAATAATTTCATTCAAATATAAGTAAGAACGTCATACATACCGACTTTTGTTCCTCCTAGGATGGAGAGCGAAGGAAAAGAAAGACGAAATTTACTGTATAGTGAATATATTTCCGGAATTGGTTATAGCTTTTCTTCCAGTTCTTCATACGTTTCAACTTGCCTCTTTTTTATTTTCAAATTTTGATTCTCATAAGCTTAAACAGTGTTTAATATATCTACGATCATACTCCTAGCTGTCAAATGAAAAGAACATACCGAATCTATATAACGTTTACGGTTCTCAGTTGATACCCGATTTTTACAGATATTGATTTAATGCTTCATTATGCTTTATTTGCAATCTATAAAGCGAGTGTAGGAAATCAATTTAATAAAAATGTAGTAACGAGAATAATAAGCAAATATTTTTTGTTTATGTTGAAATACAAAATAGAAGTAGAGGAAAACAAAACTAAGACAACGAATTTGAATATTATTAAGTGGAAGAAGACAATTACTAATTTAAAATCTGCTATCAAGTAAATAGAGATATAATTTTATTTGACCTCATTTAGACATGTGATTAAGTGCTTTGTTATGAATATTTATGTACTACGATGTTATCCATGATTTTATCTTAATAAAGATTTATTTCAACAAAAACAAAAAAAAAATACCCGATTTTTGTTTTCTTCTGCTGATTTCTTTTAAACAGAATTCCCTCATCACGATGTTCGATATCTATATTTTTCATAAGATGTTTAAATTGTAACTTTGTTCCCATGGCTTCAAACTTGCAGTGCTTCTTTCTCATATCTACTTTCAAACCTTTAAAAAGATCAGGGGGGTTTTAATCCTCAAAAATTCTCTCATTATTAGGTTTCAGTACCATAAGAAAGATACGATATCACAGCTGTACGTGTTAGTATTTCATGTGCTTTTATTGTAACCTGTATGTAATTTAGGTCTCAGGTTCCTATTTTTAGTATTTTTAGTAAACCTTTCAATAAATATTAAAATTATTGAAAAAGCAAATGTTGTGGGTTTTGATAAATGAAAATGATCTCGAAATAGAATACCTAATACCCCCCAGCAAAAAAATGGCGATGTTTGATTATAAATTCAAAGAGAGTCATATGAGCAAGAGCTTAATTAATGACTTTACAAATGCACATAATGCGATGAAAATCCTTTGGACCATGCCATCCTCTCCTTAAAGTAAATCTTTAAAGGAATTATTTGGCATTTTCAACTAAAAAGTTATTTTATATAACTTTGCTCTATTCACTTCCTAAACCCAAATAAAATACAGTGGCCTATTAAATGGGTTTTGTATTTATAACACATGGATGGCTACTAGACCTATGGTTGTAAAACCGACCAAAACCTTGGTCGAAATGACAATTCACTGTTTGGAGCAAAGAAAATTGGTCGAACGTTATTTAGAAACATTGACAAATTCATACCGCTTGGTCATAATTTAAATGCATCCCCGTCATCATGATTACATTCATAGTATGACCAGGGATATCCCTGGTATGACCAATAATTCCTCGGTCACTGGACCTAATATGACGCGCTAAATCGCCCCTTCCCCCCAAAAAACCCGTTGCGCCAAAACGAAAAAAAGTTTGACATGTATTCAAATGTAACTACACTCAAAAAAGGCCCTACTCACTATGTGATTAATATTTTCCTCGGAAACCGTTTTTTAGTATTTTTTTTTGCCATGTTATGTTTTTTTTAAATTAAATGTTTTCAAATATTTTAATTTCTCTTTTTATAATTATTCATTTTCTAAAATGTTTTTTGTGAGGATAAGGTTTTAACGTGAATGAAGAAAACTGTCATGAAACGAAAACAATAAACAGGCAAGACAAAACAAACAAACAATCTAGCACTTACCTCCACAGCTCCTGGCAATGATAAAGTCATCACACCGATAGCACACAAGAGAAGGCAAAGTGCCACGGCAAACTTCATCCTGGGTAAGTAGACAAGATTTCTTTAAGCAGAATTCAATAGGTCGTTTTGCTTCGGGAGAGTCCAGATGCGAAATGATGAATGGAAGTATAGCGTCGATGGTTTTTATAACATTTTCCCGTCTAGTATACCCTTCCTTCAATAACACTTTCAGTATCCTCATTAGAGAATCCTCATTAGAGAAGATTGAAGACCCCGTATCAGAATAAAAGAAAATAAAGTAGAAAGAACAAAGTAATTACGTCAATAGGGTATTCTCGTATCAAAATATATTGATTTCTGTGGGCAAACATTGTGTCAAAAAAAAAATTAATTAACTCACGGTAATATACACACATTAAAAACGCCTTTCGGCTTAATATCTTTTGGTGCGAATACGCCTAAACTTTTTGTTGGTAATAGATTCAAAAGTTCCATTTTTATTTACTTTAAAAGAAAAAAAGAGATTGCTATAACAGTGATACTCTAACATCGGTTAAGTTGTTATAGTCATAACATGTCGATGACATAGGAAAGTTTTTATATAAAGTGTTAACGGTGTATCACAAATATGTTATGGACCTTTAATTGTACTGATGAGCTTATTTCTAATATCCGAAATGTAAAGAATTTGGAGAGATGTATCGGGCAGAGGTTCGAAGCTGCAACCTCTTCATTGAGGGACAATTGAATGACCCGCTCTGCCACAGTGAATGTGCTTATTTAAAACACATTATGTTTATGACATTAATTAATTCAATATTAATCAAATATTGTTATCTTATGTGCCTGATTGTTCGGTATATTCTTTGTTCTTAATTCGGAGATCCGACTTTTCCTGGGGGTGGGGGAGGGGACTAGAATTATCCTTTAACGAATTAAAAGAAAGGGTGGATGTGTTTTTTTTTAATCCGAAGGAGATTATTAAGACAATCAGAGGTTTTTAATGAACTACCTTTTTAACATCGATATAACAGTGAGTTTAATGACATCATTCCAATTTTAACGAATTGGACAAAAAAATTATCAGAAGGAGATTTTTTGACATCATTCTGTCATGAAAGGTTGTAATAAATTACAAATTTAATTTCAATATGATATCAACATTATTGTTTTTAAAGAATGCTATAGTCCAACTTTTAATTAAATATCGGAATGCTATAGTCCAACTTTTAATTAAATATCAGATTTTAATTAACAGCAAAAGACTTCACTCCATTTTTTTTCCAGAACGAAGACAGGGCTCCCTCCTTTTGTCTGTTTAATGGTGTACATTGTCTAAACAAGATTCATACCGTCATCATTCTATCAGTTTTAATTACTTTTCAAAATGGCTGTTTCCCAACTTAGGTCTCCTTGTTTGAAGTCCTTATAACTGCGGCATTGTTTCTTGACCTACTTTCTTTACTTATATTTTCGTTTTAATTTAATTAAATTTATATTCATTGTGTGAATGTGATGTTGTTGATTAGTTTTTGTCTATTTAGACAAGTCTTGTCGAGAGTTTTCTTCTCATACTAATAACGTTAAATTTGTGTAGCGCGTAATAATTACATTTTTGAGAACATAAACATATTACAGAAAACTATAAGCACTACATTGTAAGAAAAAAATAGGCCTTAAAGGGGGTGTAGCATGGCATATACTGGTTAACTCCATCTACGACTTCTTTTGGACAACTATACGTAACGAATGGACTTGCTTAACGGTCAGCGCGCTCTAGTGTTCGCGAAACAGGCCGAAGTTCTCCCCACGCTTATGTTGCACGCACGTGAATACTGCGGTCGCGTCTTCTGTAGTCGTTAGCGAGCTTTAGATTTTCGACACCGAACGACCTCTACTACGAGTGACGTCACTTTGATTAACTGCGCATGCGCCACCTGCTTCTAGCTCGTCGTCTGTGAATTGACAAAACGGGAGTCGGGCAAATTTTAGGCTTATCTCGAAGTGATCACAACGACTACGAGCTGGACACAAAATATGCCGAAGCCAGCCATCAGACTATAGTATCTGGTGAGAATATAATTTAAGAAGATATATGTGACTGCAATGAAAACAACAAATACCTATGAATTTGATCAATCACGTCACTTCAACCTATTTAATTTTACTTTTTTGACGAAATTTAGGAGTTTTCTGCACAGCTGAGGTTCGAACAGCTGTGCAGACTAACTATGACGTAACAAAGAAAACTTGTCTCGCGCATATCACTGTGTATCACTGCGTATCACTGCGCATCACTGCGCATGCATTTAAACATTGGCATCGCGTCGTGTGACAATCTTAAGCGCTAGCAAGAGGAGACCCAACGTGGATTCAATGACGAGCATAACAATGACGTCACTCGTAGTCGAGGTCGTTCGGTGTCAAAATCTAAAGCTCGCTAATTATACCCGATTGGCCCCGAGTCAGGCCACGGGAAAGACACGAAATCTCGTCATGCTACACCCCTTTAAGCGCTTGCTTAAAAGTATCGCAAGAAGGTGTATTCCTAATTGTTATGGTTAGAGAATTCCACAGAGCAGGAACTGATGCCATAATTTTATGAAGCTGGTCTGCCCTGGGTTTATCTCTCTCCTAAGTGTATCCAAAACCTAGTGCTATTGTTTTTCAATTGTTTTTTCATCTGCTTTTTTTACTAAGACACGCCGACACCGTAATCACTGTTCCTCATGTTACTATGGTAATTGTGTGTTAACAGTCTTTGCTTTTATATTGTAGTTATATACTAATTTTTCAACACGTATTAAAAAATGAAAATCTGAATCTTTTCTAACAACAGTATGGATTATGATTTGGAGAGCAGAGAGAGGCATTTCTTTCAAAAAAAGTAAATGGGATAATAAAATATTGCAATAAATGTACAAAGTGGGAACTCCCCGCCCCCCCCCCAGCGTTATTTAGGGTACGCATATGCGTGTTCCAAGCGACCCCCCCCCCCCCTTTCAGCAAAAGTCCGGTGTGTAAAGTCAATACGGGTCGACCTTTTTCTTTTGTTACGAAAGGACATTTTGGTAACACGCAAGGGGTCCGTCCGTTCTCGGAGTGGGGGGGGGGGGGGGGGGGGGGGGGCGGGGGAACTCTTCATGTTTTGAAGATCTGTGGATATTCGGGGTTATTGCAGCAATGTGCTTACCGTGAACTGGTCTATTCAAGGAGAGGGAAACAAATCGCAGATCGCACCTTTCATTAAGTACGCGCAGAGGATTTGTCCTTTACTTCAATATGCACATTTTATGTTACCATTAATATGAAATAATATAAATAATTATATTACTGGATTTGAAAAGATATATATGCATGTATGCAATTTGTAGATGTATTACGCTTTTTACTGATATGTGCGTTGGGTGTGTTTGAGTGTTGATAATATTATTAAGTTAACAATTTGGTAGGCCTATTTATTGTTTTTATTTTTCCTGTTTTACGTTAATCATAATTTGTTCTTGAATCGATTGGGTGAGTGGTACATACGCGGCATTATTTTACTTGTAGGCTCTATATAGCTTGGCTTGTTAGAGCTCTTGTGAGTAGTGTGCCGCGGGGTTTCATATCCTTAACCCTAATAAGGCCGGGGGGGGCCATTATGGCCCCCCCTCCACAATTTTTTCGATTGCTCGGGAACGCATATGGATGGCGCCCCGCCGCTCGCTGACTTTTTTCTTTCGAGTCTTGCGCAACTTTTAAAATAATTTTTTTGAAAATCGGACCTACGGTTACAAGGTCACGTGACCTTTTGTCTTCGCATGTCAGCCTGAAAATCGCTCATTTTCGTGATTTGTGTACAAAACGTATGGCAAAGTCATTTTTCCTAAAAGCAGATCAAACATGGGTTATTGGATCTTGTTTAAAGCTTAGGTGGTTGTTTTGGGAGTCAAAATAGTTGAATTGTAGTAAAAGATAAAATAAAACAACAAAAACAATGAAATACATAAGTTAAAAAAACAATGAAATACATAAGAAATTATCAAAACAAGGGATAACATAAGAAATAAGCTGGCTCTTCCAATTTTTTTGTCTTATTATTATTCAGAATGGTCTAATGAATATATCTAGTGAAAAAGAATGCTTAAATATGAATAATATATGATTTATTGGTAAAAATGTGATTTTTATGACTTTATTTGCATAAATTACCATAAATATGCAAATGAGTGAATTTTTCAAAAAATTGAAATGATCATATTATTCTTTACACTTCACTTGACATGCGTGCAAATTTTCGCGGCGATCGGCCGCTTCGCGGCCGAGATCTTGAGGGGGGCCATAATGGCCCCCCCCGGCCCTACTAAGACTTCAAATAGCCCGGCCTTATTAGGGTTAAACTGCTGGCGAACAGTGCAACAAGACCAAGCTCTGTAATTGTTAGGATTATCCAATTATTAGGTTTGTCCGATAATGCCAAGTTTGTGCCACAGAACTTAGTCGACCAAGTCGATTATATCAATTTTATGTCATACGTTTTTATTTTTTATATTTTATTTTAATTCTTAATATAGTTACAATCAGCAACTCAATGTAGTAGTATTGAATATTGCAACACGCATAACAAAGAAATTCAAAACGAAGCAAGGCACACTTACTTTTGTGCCATTAAAATCAATTACTCAATTTATTAATCGAATTTGTTTGGTATATTGTAAGGTTGTTTGATCTACCCTCAATCTTGTCTTAATACCCATCACTCAATTTTAGGATTTTCTGCCATCAACGTTTTATCTTTTTCTTTTTCTTGATGTTTGTGATATTCTTCGACTCTGTGTGATTTTTTTTATAGAAATTATAATAGAAAAATTCTGAGCATCAAATCGTCTGCGTCCCTAGCAACTCGGATAATTTTTGAATATATCGCCATGTTGTTTTTAATTGGAAATCACCGTTACCGTAAGACGAAACCATCTTTCCAACCACTATTTTTAATTGTTATGTACCTTTTTGGACTACGTGTATACAAGGAATGTATGAATGCCCAGCTCCAGTCGAGGATCAAGTACAGTAGGATTATTCCTTTTTTCGATACTTTTTTTGACGAGCCATCTCCAAATGCATTCTTATCAAACTTTACCCTAAATCAAACTCAAAGTCATAATACTCCTGATCAAGTTACCCTGT